GCATGGGATGACAGTTGAAGGTGGACCAAGGATCATTATCAGGTTGAGGTAGCCAGCCATATCTAACATTCCAAATTTGATGCTGAAGCATTCTTGGGGAATTCGTGGGCTCCAAAAACCATAAATGGCATGCATGGAGGAATCAGAAATGCACAACAGTAATTACAATGTCTGGGCTGATGCTTGTCTTCCTTCACAGTAGAGTAAAATCATCTATTAAAAAGCAGCAGTAAATAAGGTGCCCCTCCACTATCTCAATTTCATCCAAGGTCACTTTATGTGGAGAAATTAGTGAGGTAAAACAATATTAGAATTGAATTCACTACTTAAACTGAAGTACAATGTAGATCGTTGGATCCAACTTGACAATAGATAGAAACGACGTCATTTAGGGCTTTCCATGGGTAGTTACAATCAAAGGAGCTGGCTCATTGTTCCTTAAGTGAAGATTACATCCAGTTTTTAACTCCACTATACGAGAAGTAGAAGGCAAAGCTGTCTGGTTTCCATAGCAGAATACATGGATTAATAAGGTGAAAAGAGGGAAGGGTTGTAGAGGTAGAGCGGAGAACCACAACCATTTCAGGGTAATGTGTGGAGGCCAACTCCATTCCCATAGTGCTGTTTGCTAAATCCACATGACTGTGTATGTAAAACCTGCACAAGAAGGACTAAAATTTTCATAGAAGCCATTGGAGGATTAAAACGGCTTGCTTCATGTGGAATATATGAGTAAATTTTAAGCATAAAATGAAATGTGCATGTACCTCTTCATGTATTTACAAATTGCTAATTCCGTGAAAGACGCCATTTAAATGGGATAATAAAATTTCTTGATGATATTGAAGCTCCTACTTTCCTTGGGGCAATTTGGTTTTCGTTTGGCATTAATTATATTTTGCATCTTACTTGTGCTTGCCTTACTGGATTCAAGTCACTATTCATTAGCCACTTTTTTTCTTTTAGTTTTTTCTAGTCAGAGTGTGGTATATAGATAAATGGCAATTGTAATATCTTTGCTGCTTACAATTCTTACTCATAATCTTTCAAGCTCAATAGCTTAATTCTTTTCTGTTTTCAGTAAATTAAACCTTAACATTGCCCTCTTGGTGAATTACCTTTACTATTTAAACTTACTATGGTAATTAATCTCGGATATCTGTTCTCCATTTGTTGAGTTTTGGGGTGGTTGGGGAAGGAGGGCATTCTATGTGCAGTTGATCTTTCAATTTTTAACATTCTAATTCGGTATTCAACTAAAACTTCTCTAACTTTTATTTTTCTCTCTTTCTTTTTTTCAGTAGCTGCCCTAAGCCGGGAAGTCATTAATAATGCTCTCCTACACAAAAAATAGGAAGATTGGATGAGTGTACACTTAATTCATATTCAGAATGAGTTGATGTTATTGAATCACATCTTACCTCTCCTTTCCTTTTTTCCAATTTATACGTAGGTAACAGTCCATTATTTCAAAGATATCATGTCTGTAAAGCGTTCCCTTAGCGAAGTTCAGTTTTGCATATGACCATGACAATAAAAGAAAAGGACCAAAAAAAAAACACTAGCACTTAGCATAATGTTATTTCAATCCTTGGTTTTACAGGTTTTCGACATTGACATGCTCATCATTCTCTAAGCACTCAACCTGTATGGTTTCGACATTGACATGCTCATCATTCTCTAAGAACTCTACCTGAATGTTTTTACCCACTAGCCATTTTCTACATCCTCCATCCTCTTATCTTCTACATCTCTCTCATCAACTTTCAGACTTCTTTTTGCATTAACTTTTCAAGCTAAATGAGCAAGGAAAGGAATTGCTACCTAGGTGCATTACGTATCAAGCATTAGACCCTTTGAGCTTTTATTGGAAAGGTAAAAGATTCACATGGGATGTTACAATTTCATGGAATAAAAACAATGAGTGAAGAAAGAAAACTCCATGTTCAAAATCTACAAACAGTTGCTTCAGTTGAAGCTGCTCCCCTCCTGACTACTGTCTCCATTGTTGAAAATGATGCAAAATAATAGGAGTTGTGGTGTTGTGTCTTTCTCATCTCTCTCTTAGTAGATGTGAGGGTAGTTATTATTCATGATTAGTTATCTCTCCCTTTATAGGTAATGGGTAGTTAGAGTTATATAATCATGTAGGGTAGTTCTCTAATCACATAGGCTTTGTAGGTAGTTATCTAATTAGGTTGTGAGTCGCGCAGAGTTGCATAACTACTGTAGATGTCTACATATGGGCATCATTTAATGAGAAATGTGCAACCAGTAGATGTAACTTGTGTGTAACTAGTGGATGAATATGTGAAATGAGATCTGTGCAAAAAATCTTGTGCGATCGTGTTTATCTTTCCAAAAAAAAATTTCTTACATGGTATCAGAGCGTCTGTAAAATTTCAACATGGTATCAGAGCTCAGGTTGTGAAAGAAAAAAAAAAGAAAGATAGGTATAATTGTGGAGAGCATGGAGAGCCCAAGTTGAAGATAAGTATTGGAGAGCCAAGGTTGCCAAAAAAAAACAGCAGGTTAGAGACAAACCTCAAGGGAAAGGTGATAGATATTTAAATCTCTTTATTCGATTTCTTTATTCCATATAGCAAGTAGTCCAAATATTTTTCAACTATTGATTACAATTTTCAAATGTAAATTTTACGAGTATTGGAAAATTAAAATGAAAACAATGTTTGGCTCTTGATAAATAAATAAACAAAAAAAAAAAGTGATTTTGAAAAGAACTAAAAAAAAAAGGAAAGAAAAGCTGATTAAAATGGTAGATGATTTGAAATGAAAAAAAAAGGAAATAATATGAAAAAAAAGGAAATATTTTTTTTTTAAAATGTGATGTTCTTCGAAAAAGAAGCTGGAGATTTAAAAAAATATATAAATGGGAAAACAAAATTGGAGAGCTCTTGATGTCGTATTTTTACAAAAGTTTTCAGAAAATGAGATTTAAAGAAAAAAGAATCTGACAGGAGGACATGAGTAGTCTCCTCATGGGAAATCCATGCCTATGTAGTCATAGGAAAAATAAAAATGATTTTTGAAAAAGAAAAGAAAAACAGGATACCGCAGTCCTAGTATGTCGTGCCATGGAAAGGCATGATGGGAAATCCATGCCTAGCGTAGGGATGGGAAAAATTGTTTTTAGAAAAAAAAAAAATTAGGACATCGCACTGTTTGTCCTGCCATGGAAAGGCATGGTGATGCCATGAAAAGGCATAAAAAAAATTATGTTTAAAAAAAATAGGACATCACAATCCTAGTTTGTCATGTCATGAAATTGCATGATGTTGCCATGAGAACGCATAACTTTTTTTTTTTTAAAAAAAGGGACCACAATCTTAGAGTGTTATGTCATGAGAAGCCATAAAAACAATGGGAGAAAAATGTTTCAGAAAAAAAGAATTTAAAAAGAAATCTAATTTTACAATCTTTTTTTGTAGAAAAGACATTAAGAAATATGACAATTACTACTCCAAAAAGCAAGTAGAATGAATTTTGTGAAAAGACCCGACCATAACCCTATATTTATTTGTGAGGTAGAAGTGGGAGGAAAAGAATTTTCCAGATAACTAAAATGAGTAGTGGAATATTTTTATTTGTAGTGGAATATTTTTATTTGTGAGGTAGAAGTGGGAGGAAAAGAATTTTCCGGATAACTAAAATGAGTAGTGGAAAATATCAGAAGGCTACCGTGATAAAATTGAGGGAGAACTAATAAAACTAGGTTTCAATTTTCTTTTCAATTTAACTATAACTCTTGTTGAATTCATTTTTTTATCGTCTTCTTTTGTTTCCTAGAGCCCATCATCTTTGTGTGTGTTCTTGCACATGCCCATGCATGGCCATCTGTGTGCCATCCTTGCCTTAAGACTTGAGATGAGTCACCACTCTGTCTTTTTAACAACAGAGGATGGACTACTAACAATAGAGGTAGAGGGCGAGGGTTTTAACAACAGAGGAAGGACTACTAATAACAAAGGGAGAGGGAGAGGGAGGGACATGGGTTTCTGTTTGGACAAAGCTATACTGAGAGAGATAGAGAGACACATGGCGTATCTCGTTAAGCAACGCTAAACTTACCTATTAAATGGAGCAAGGGTCGCGTGCCTTCCCTCAATTAACTTTAAGCAACCATCCTAACCAAGCTTATTTGATTGATTCATTGTATTAAATTTGGTTTTTAACCGAGCACCGCAAATACGAGTAAAGAAAATCACGTAAAATGTCCGGGCTCCTGTTTTATGCGTCAAATATATAGGACACAAAAGTTGGCTTATTTTCACACGATTGGTAAAACCTAATCTAGATGGAAGAGATAGGACACAAAAGTTCAGTTCCCTTACTTTCAGACGATTGGTAAAACCTAGATGGAAGAGACAGAGACGAAGAGCGACCGATGTAATTGTGAAAGATGGTGTAATAAAATTGTCACTATTTCTCAAAAAAACAGAAAAAGGTTATGGGGATAGGTAATTTCTACGGAACAGAGATTAAATTGAGTAGAGAAATTAAATTAAATTTAAATAGGAATGAAAGGGATAGTTTGTGAGAGAGATTTGAATAAACAGAAGAAAAATAAAAGTTAAACCAGCACTAAAAATTAGCCATAAAAGAAGAAAAATAAAAGTTAAACCAGCACTAAAAATTAGTGGTTTTCTCTCTCTTTGGTGCACTAAGATTCTCAAAATTACGTACACTTAATTTGGGTTGCGCATGTAGCCATCTCTAGGAAGGTTGTACACGTACAAAAATCCCACGAGAAATGCAGAGGACCCCATCACCAAAATAACCATAAATACCCCATGCCTTTCCTTACCAAAACTAGCTTTCCTTCCTCTCTCTTCCTTTCACTTTCGCTTTATCTCTCTAAACGAGAAGCGCCTCCCTCCCAAACCATATCTCTGTTTCCTTTCTCCAAAGTTGTACACTCCCACTCGATTTTAGGGTTTACACAGTCGATCTTCATTTTTCCTCTCTCTGAAGCCTTAATCATGGTGACTGGACCCTGTGGTGCCTGCAAGCACCTCCGCCGCAAGTGCGTGAGGGAATGCGTGTTCGCCCCTTTCTTCCCTGCCGATAACCCAGACAAATTTGCCTCCATTCACACTGTCTTCGGCGCCTCTAACCTCACGAAGATCCTCAGCGAACTTCCCCGTGTCTGTCGTGGAGATGCCATTGTCTCCCTCATCTATGAAGCTGAGTCCCTCATCCGCGATCCAACCAAGGGGCCCCTGCACCACATTCAGAGCCTTCAAATGGGGCTCGAACAGCTCCAAGAAGATATCAAAGTCGCCCAACAAGAACTCGCTACCCTAATTTCTGGTGAATCTTCCTCTTCTAATGATCCACCTAACCCTGCGCCCTCTTTGGCCGATGGCCGCACTTCCGACCCTCCTATGATGCCACCATCTTCTGTTGCTCCACCTTTGATGCCCACCGCACCAGTTACAGATCGATTTCTGATGCAGCCGGTTCGTCAGCAGGTGGCATCTGATGCCGTACAGTATGAATTCTCTTCACCTTCTGCATTTTTTGAAGCATCATGGAATCGTTTGATGAGTCTGACTCTCGAAGACGCTCAGAGGATGGGTGTGCACTACATTGGAGGGCAGGATGTGACTCCAGCAACCGGCACCGGGATGGCCGGAACGTCGTCGTTGTGGTGATTATTCATGCGTTGGGGTGAACGGAGAGTTTGTGTTTCATGCTTCATTCATGCATCTCTGCCCCCCCTTTCCCCTTTCTCTCAGTCTCCACAGCTCTCTCACTCTCTCTATGTCAGAAGCTTTTAGTTATGGTTGGTGATAGATATGTCTCTCTGTCTCTGTGTATATCGTAAGCGTTGTGTCTCTTCTCTCTCTCTTCCAAGTTAGGGTTTTTTTAGGGTTTAGGGTCCAGTCGTTCTCTCACTTAAGATCTTAGTGAGGATTGGTTATTGGTCTCTCGGATTGGTTATTGGTCTCTCTCTCTCTAAATGTAAGTATCTAGGGGGCCATTGTTTCCTAAGAAGTGTCGGAAAGAAGTGTCTGCTAATGGCTTATGTGTCGTGTCGTTTTGGTTTTCCATGTTTTCTGTGCTGTGGAGGTTATCCATTCTTGTAAGTGTGTTGTTTTTGGGTCGTGACTCTTGTGGATATTTTTTTCTCTAAATGTTAGGTTAAAAATTGAAAAGAAAAAGAAACCAAAATCAGAAATTCCTTTGAGCCAATTATTTAGAAAAAATATATATGAGGTGTCAACCTTACACTGTAGCAGTAAGGTGCATCTCAAAAACCTATCGATAAAAGGTTGTTTTATCACTAGAAAATCTAGAAAATGGATGGTCTAGATAATGTGTAAAGTACTCATAGATATGTTAGATTTGCACTATTCTTGGAGCTTTCAATGTCATTATAGGGGTGAAAAATAGACTTTTAAGAGTTTCGGCATTTTTAAGAGTTTTGGCACCGAAAATACATCTTTTAAAGAGATTTTGAGGTGCACCTTACCATGATTGTTTAAGGTCGACATCTTATGCAAACCTCACCCATTACTTAAATAATGAAAAAGTACGCCAAATACCAAAAAAGTAGAATTTAATAAAAAAAATGGAAAGTCAGTTAGTGTAGATTTTTTCAATTCATTCCAAAATACCTATCGGTTGGAGGATACCATCCTTAGACTGATTTTAATTTTTCCTTTCTTATTTTTTTGAGTTTTGTTTTAGGATAGTTGCCTATCTATCCAAAGTCCCTATCTTTGGACCATCTAAATTGTGGTATTACACCACATTAATGGCGGTCCGAGGTCCCCATCTATGGACACTTACACCACATTACAGGTGTAGCATATTACACCAAAGCCACAAGATATTACACACATCATTAACATAAAGCGTGGGCACTAGAAAAGAAAAATGAACCGGAAAAAATAATTAATTAATTAATTAATTAATTAAAGGCAACGTATTCCAGACCATTTGAGTGAAATGTACTCCGATTTTGGAACAACACTGATCACCAAATGGTGAATTTTAATTGCAAATAGGCTGCCTCTGTATAGAGAGAAAAACCAATAGGTTGTGCAAAAAGTGTTATTCCGCTATCTTTTGGCAGGATATATAATATGTTGTGCAAAAAGTGTTATTCCGCTATCTTTATCCTGTCGAGATAAACCGTGTATAAAATAGAAGATCCATCAGGAAAAAAACGAAATTTTAAAAAATGAAATGGAACAAGTAGCCGATTGGACCAGCAGTCCCCTATTCCAAAGCTGTAGCTTAATGGTACACCTATCAATCTCTGTGCTCATTGTTTGATAAGCAAGGAACATAGAATTTCACTTAAAATTACTGGAGACAAAAATTAAATATATTGGAAGTGGTTTATTTATTTTGTATGCTACCGTTAACATCATCGTCAAAGTCTTTTTCCAATTAATTGGGTTCGCTTACACGAATCCGGCCTACCCATTATCTTTTGGCCTTCCACTTGAATTAACTCGCACCTCCTAAAATCGGGTCTGCACCACATATGGTCAGCTCACCTAAATCTACTTTCTCTCATCTTATCACCTTTTGGTGCCGCACTTAAATTCTTCTGAATGTATTTATTTTAAATTTTACACCTCTTTGTCTATGTTTGTGCTACCAATGAAAGTTAAATATGTTGCCGGTGCATTTTATTTTGTTAATTTCATAGATGATGCTTCTAGAAATGGGTGGGGATATAGTATGAAGATCAATGATAAAGTATTTAAGATTTTTCAAACATTACATTTTCATCCTAAAGATATAAGGAAATAGGAAAGCCTTTAAAGTGTGACGGCATAAACCCTGGTTGGAAATATACTTTGAACATGTTCATATATATATATATATATATATATAAATAAATAAAGTATGACATTAGATATAAGAATTTTGTTTACAATACCTGTGTAGCAGAAAGGATAAAATATACTATTATAGAAAGAATATAGTGTATGCTCTCACTTGCTAAGTTAATAATATCCTTTTGCATGAGGTTCTGTGCATTACATGCTATTTTATCTTCTTCTTTAATGCCTTTAGAGGGAGATTACCCAGAAAGAGTACAACATAGAAAGCCTCGAATATAAAGAGCACAACGTACAAAGCCTCGAATATAGGTATTTGGTTGCAAAGTATTTATTCATGTATTGGAACAATAGAGGTCAAAACTCAATGATAAGTCCAAGTAGTGTAACTTCTTAGCAACAAGTTGCGAGATCGAAAAGAAAAGAAAGTGATCAAAAGCCGGGATGTTGCCTTTTATGAGAACAAAACAATTTATATTTTCAAAAAATTGATGCATTATATGCACTGGTAGATGATGTTATAGATCTCAGTGAAAAGTTTCCTATCCATGGTGATATGGAACAGGCGTAGCACCCCCCTCAAGAACTAAGTCATGGCTCATTTAGAAGGTCTTCAGGGGTAGGTTTAGCATTAAATAAGTATTCTCCTAATTTCTACGTCAGATTTAGTGATTGAACAGAGTCTAAAAGTTTTCAAGAAGCCAGGGTGCATGAACAAATGACTTGTAGTATCAAGCTATGTAAGATGAAATCAATTCTTTATAAAAAATTAATCCATAAGGATTCCTTGAAAGTACAATGTTCAGTTAGTTGTAGAATGATTTGAGAAAAATATTGGTATTGAATTTCATAGAAAAATTTCACATATTGTGAAGATGAGCTTCAATGTAGAGGTGGAACAAGCCGATACCAAAATTATTTTTCTGCACATTGACTTGAAGGAAGAGTTTTATATGAAACAACTAGAAGGCTTTGATGTCTTAAGAAATGGTACAAATATGGATGTAAGAGGACAACTGCAGATTAATATATTTATTTCTTAAGCTATTATGGCTTAATGATTCTTCTGATTTATCACAATCAAAATGTAATTGTTGGGAACGATCTTCAAAGGATTGACTGTGTCAAAGAAAAATTCTTCTGATTTATCACAATCAAAATGTAATTGTTGGGAACGATATTCAAAGGATTGACTGTGTCAAAGAAAAATTAAGGATATGAAGCATTTGGGGCAACCACAATAGATTTTGTCTATGACAATCAAATGTGATAGGAATGAAAAGAAGTAGTGGTTATCACATGATAAGTATATCAAGCAGGTTGTATAAAAAGTTCAATATGAAAAATGTAAAGCCGATTAGTACGCCACTTGGAGGTTACTTTAAGTTGAGTGTGAGGTACAGTCTTTTCAAACAACAAAGACTAAAAAGAAATAAAAGATATTCTAGTTACTTCAGTAGTAGGAAGTTTGAACTATGACATTGTGTGTATGAGGCCCAGTACCATGAATACATTCAGCATGGTAAGTAAATTACTTGTCAACCCAAGAAAAGAGAATTAGAGAACAATGACGTGAACCCAAGAAAAGAGAATTAGAGAACAATGACGTGAATTCTGAACTATCTCAAGGAAACGGTTTCTATGCTTTTTTAATATAAGTTAATCCTAACTTTTTAGAGAATATATAATTTTTAACATGGCATGGAAATCATCAATATGAAAAAAAAAAAAAGAAAAAAAAAAAGAAACTTAGAAACTAGAAGTAATGATTATATTAAGAAAACATTTGGCCTGTTAGTTACACTTGTTTCTAGATGGACCACTATTTGCGTCCATCTTTAAAATGGATCCTTTATAGCTCTAGATTGCATATTGTAGAAATGCAGTCTAGCCCACATGAAACAATTTTCCATATTTAAATGGCGCAATATTCTGCAGTAAAGAGCTTGTGCTTGTAGTATGTATAAATGTAGATCTTACTAGAGGAATCGACATCAAAGTCCACTTCAGGATACTTGTTGATTTTTGCAAGGGGCAGTATCATGGCAGTCCGAATCGCAAAACTGCATTGCATTGCCCTTTCCACAACGAAGTCAGAATGTAAAGCGACTACAGTAGTAAGAAATGAAAGGTTGTAGATGAATTGGTTCTTAAAGGAATTGGGTTTAAAGCAAGATAAAAGCGACTACAGTAGTAAGAAATGAAAGGTTGTAGATGAATTGGTCCTTAAAGGAATTGGGTTTAAAGCAAGATAAATATGCAGTTCATTGCTAAAGTCATAGTCTATAGACCCAAGCAAGAATACGAGATATCGTGCCAGGACAAATCATATCGATGTTCATATGCATTGGAACCGGGATGTCTATGAGAATAATTTAATGTGACTAGAGGAAATCCATACCAATTGCAAGTCGTTAGACAAAATCCAATTGCAAGTCATTAGACAAAATGACCAAGGCCAAGAGCTGTGTAGAGACTTGGTAGGCATGGGTGCCACTTGACCACGCATTAATTACTCTTGGGCCTAGTCCCATGATGAGTGAAAATTGAAAATATTAAGTTTACTTGTAAATAGAATCATTTTATTTTTGGACAAAGTTTATATAAGGTTGCAACCTTAAAATGTAGAACTATGGATGCACCTCAAAAATCCAACAAAAAGGTTTTTTTAAATGTTGAAAACCCTGTGATTGATCATCGAGATATATGACCATGAAAAAGAAAAAGATTTTGAATCTCAGAAATAGTGCATCATCAATTTTCAAGATTTTCATATGTTTATAGATCTACTTGATTTTAATCATTTTTAGAATTTAAAATTTTATAATTAGATATAAAAATAGATTTTAAGA